CCCTGTCTTCAAAAAGACAAAAAAAAATTTTTTTTGTGTGTGTGTATGAGTGTTTTGCCTGCTAAGAGCACGTTGTGTGTGCAGAGCCTGAGGAGACCAGAAGAGAGTGTCAGATCCCCTGGAGCTGGAGTTACAAACTTTTGTTAACTGCCATATGGGTGTTGGAAACTGAACCTGGGTCCTCTGCAAGAGCAGCCAGTACTCTTAACCGCCGAGCCATCTCCAGCCCCCACCTTGTTTTCTTGTTGTTTTTGCTGGAATTAGCCTATTAGGTTAAGCTGGCTGACCAGGCTTGCCCTGTCTTCCGCCTCCCCAGCACTGAGGTTCCAAGAGCGTGCCATCACGCAGTCTCCAGCCCCCACCTTGTTTTCTTGTTGTTTTTCCTGGAATTAGCCTATTAGGTTAAGCTGGCTGACCAGGCTTGCCCCTGTCTTCCGCCTCCCCAGCACTGAGGTTCCAAGAGCGTGCCATCACGCACAGTATTTTCATGTGGGTTCTGGGGATCAGCCTTGGGTCTTGATACTTGCAGGGCAAGTGCTTTACCAGCTGAGTTGGCCCCCCAGTACCATTGGTGTGTTTTAGATGTTCCTGCATTACTGGAAGGATTTTCCAGTTGTTGAGGTGGACAAGGCCCCACAGTCACACCTGGGGTGCTGATGGGGCCGGCAGGGGAAACACTCATTCATGTCTCCCGTCATCACATTCCTGATCTGTGTAATGTGGGGTCTAGACTTAGCCAACATCCTGATGACACGGGATTAAAGAGCCTAGACCTGACCCTCCAGGCTACTTACTCCTAGGAAAGTCACTGAAAGGGAACAGAAGTAACGAAAACTGAGCCTGGAGTCCTTGCCCATCACAGTCCAGTGGGGTTTGGAGGTGAACACATCGGCCAGCATGGTGCATGCCCAGAGGACTTCTTCCCAAAGTGGCTCACTCAGTGACTGGAAAACTGGCACTGCGTGTTGCCTGGGCCTCAGTACCCTCCCTGCGACCTCTCCCTGGGGCTGCCGGCTTCCCCCTGAGGCCCTGGGCTTCCCACGCCCAGCAGTGGCAGATGCAATGCCTCTATTGACCCCTAGGAGTCGCTGCCCCACCCACCCCGGTCTGCGGGTCACACGGCCGTCGGCGGTGGGAGCGGACCCTTCCTCACCGACACCTCACTCTGGCTGCTCTGTTCCAGCTGTCGGCCTTCCGCTCTGCGGGTCACATGGCCCGGCGGTGGGAGCGGACCCTTCCTCACCGACACCTCACTCTGGCTGCTCTGTTCCAGCTGTCGGCCTTCCGCGCACTCCTGTTCTCTGCTAGGGGCGAGAAGGAGGAGGTGATGGTAAACAACTTCCGCCCACTCCAGCCCCTCATGGATCGGCGGGTCAGTTCGTCCTTCCGGGCCGTCGCCGGGATGAGGTCCTGACAACAGCCGACTGTCGGTCCCACGCGCATCTGCATTAAATCCGGGCCGTGAAACCTCGTCAACGGTTCGTGCCTTGCTGCGCGCCACCGAAATCCTTCATGGAAACTGGAGCAGAAAATAAATAAAAACAAATGAGTGGCAGCAGAGCCGGGGGTTCGGCCGGGACATGCTCGGGTGTCTAGACTCCGTGTTGAAGGTCCTGTGTGCGCGCTGCGCCGCGTGGGCATAAGGACCCAAGTTCTGGTCCCAGAATCCACATAAAAGTCGGGTGCAGCGCTGCGGGCTATAAGTCAGCCAGCCTGACCTACACCCTGACGTCCTGGGCCAGTGAGAGACCATATCTCAAAAGGTGGAAGGTGTTTGACAATTGTCATGAAGTCATCCTCAGTGCTCCACATGTGCACCTGCACACACACATACAGCGCACACGCAAACCCCCCCGCCCCCGAACCCATAGGCTAGAAACCCAAGGCAGTTTCAAGGTAGCCTTGGGGACTGAGCAAGCCACCGGCACCCAGGTTGCTGTGCCTGGCCTGTCATTCCCTCTCTACACATGGATGACTCTGGTCCATCACTGCTAGGCCCACCTGGGGTTCCTGGCAACAGACTGGGAGCAACAGCCTTTTCCTCAACACAAACCCCAAGGCTGCTGCAACGTATTGAGGAGGGTTTGTGGTACAGGGTATTACGAGTTCAGTCTTACAGCCCAGGAAGAGTCTGAAGTCAAGGTTTGGTCAGGTTCCCTCCTGAGGCTCTGAAGAGAGGCCTCTTTCCTTCCCTCCCCTCCCCCTCTCCTCCTCTCCCCTCCTCCCCCTTTCCCTTCCCTCTCCTCTCTCCCCT